CTGATCTAAGTAGAAAGCAGACCCAGCACAAGCCAGGATCTATGCACCATCGCTATAATGCAGGAAAAAGGACGAAGACAACGAGCTTTTCCAACTAGTGGTTGGGCAGAGAGAGAAAAGGGACCGGCTAATTTTGACCAGGAGTTCAGGCAACGAATAGCGACGCGCATCTTGCAAAGCGGAGCCCGGCTTAAAGCGCTGGACCCGCCGTGCATCTCCGGATTTTTCACTCCAGCCATGCAAACCCTCCTCCATCGGGCGCCCAAAAACTGCTTTCCTTAAAGCGCAGGCAGCCCGAGTTGCCAGGCGCTTCTTTCCGCCCTCCCAGGCTCCGCACCTTCCCACGCGGCCCCTTCTCGCCCGCGATCCTCTCTCCAACTTGCTGGCTGCGGCTCATTCTCCTCTCACGGCTCATCGTCTTCCACTCTCGACTCCCGCCGGCTCCCAAATGCCTCCTCCCGCCTCCTGCTCGAGATGGTCACCAGGAATCTTTAAGAGAGCGCCCCGCCCCCCTCGGCATGACGCAACCCTTGCGCCATTACTGCCCAATGGGCGACGCCGCGCCTCTCCATTGGCGGAACGAAGGGAGCCGCCGCCCAATGAGCCGTCGTCGTCCTTTCGCTACGCCCCGCCTTCTCCAGTGTTGGGTGACGCGGCTCCGCCGCGGTGGATACTGCCGCGTCGCACCCGGAAATGACTCCTCCCGAAATTTCCCCCCCTCCTTTCAGGGTCACGAGTCTTTAAGTGGGTGAGTCATGCGCTGGGGATGATGCAATGTCCTGGCAACCGTTGGCGGTCACGGCACTGAGAGCCCAAACTGGAGTCCTGACCTTGGCCCAGCTAGATCCCCTTTACAGGCCCTGCCTTGTTTCCTTTGCCCTTTTCTCTCCTCCTCCCCCCCATCCCTGCTCCAACGAGCCTGTGCCCAAGTCTCCCAGTAGTAACTAGGCCGAATTACGTTGGGAGGTCCCCTGATCAGCTTTTATGACGTCACGCCACGCCCACCGTTTGGTTAAAGGGCCAGTTCTCCCTTGGGGAAACAGCGTCGGGGCCTTCCCTGAACTGTCCTTGCACATACGGCACTTGGCCCATTGTTGCTCTAGTCTGCTCCATCCTATTATTATTGTTGTTATCATCATCACCTGAAAAAAAAAAGGGGGGGTGGATTGTAAATGAAATAAATAGAGCTGCCGATGGGGTTCAAGATACTGGATTAATAGCGCGGATTTGAAAGGCTGTAAGCCTGTGTGTTCATTTGCTTTTGAATAAAACGAGTGTTGTGAAGAAAAAGCATTCTTTCTCTCCCTTGGTTTTTAATGCTGCCATATAGGAATTCCAGAAAGCCCGATTCTGTAAATGATTGGTTTTGAAAACAATCCGCTGTCTGTAATAAGCAGTTCTTCTTAATCAGAACATTTTAAACAAGTCGTTTTAAACTGGTCACATCTTAAATGTTGCACCTCAAATAAAAAGCAAGCAATTCCTTGGGGAAGAGATCACCCAAAAAAGCGTATATCCGGATTGTGTCTCTTTCCACCTCAGATCTAGTCAAAGAAAGGAGGCAGCAGAGCTTTGCGCGATTCTAACAACGCTTTGTTAGGAGAAACAAACTAATAAAACAATAAGGACACATAGAAATAATATATTAGTCTAGAAGGTACTTTAGGTAAGTTAGTCAAAATTGGTCTTGGCACAAAAATTCAGGCTACTTCCAACTTGGCAGAGATAGGATTCCCAAATGACATCATTTTAAACAAAATGAAAAAGCCCAACTGCTCTGGTTATCAAGTAGCTAAATACTCAGAATGGATTCCATTCTTCAAGCTATTCAAACCACTTGAACATGAAAATGAATGCAATTGCAAGTAATTAATATAAACAAGCATCTGATTTAGAAAGAGGATCTGCATTTTTAAAATGGAATATAATGATTTCATTTGAAAATGAATTTGAGCTACCTTTATTTTATTGGCAATGTAATTTGAATAACTTGATATTTCATTTGATTGTTATGCTTGTGAGCCAGGATCTGAGTTTCCCATCAGCAAACCTCTATATATCATTTTGCCTGACAAATAGCGTTGAAAGTGGAGCTCTGAATTGCAAAACATTCCATGGTGACATTCTGTTTGTAGGAAATGCTAGTCAGACCTGGCACAGCTTATATCCCATAGAAGCACACACTGTAATATACAGTTTTCTCTCAATGTTGCTTAAGGGGATGTCTAGTAGAGGGTGGACAAGCTTTTAGGGAACTTTCAGAGCTCCCACAAGAACTTCTAAAAAATCATTGTATATATTACCAAACAACTGCAAAATTTTATAGATTTGGGCCTAAACTCTAGCATACAAATCCTCATTAAAATATGGTTCTTTCTATCATAATTACAGCATTGCAGATTGGGAACATTAATAACCTATACTGTATTAGAATTAGAAAATTAGATCAGTAAAGTTATTAATAAAAAGCATACTTTTGAATAAATTGTCAACAAATGTTTATATGAAGAACTTTGGGATTATGACTGGATCTAATTTCTCACCACCACCCTTCTCCTACGTAGAACTACACTGTATGTTATATTTTTGACATCTGTTCACAAATATGACCACTGACCAACTCAGATGACAGCTTCTGGTAGTCCTTGATTTACAACTGCAATAGAGCCCAAAATTTCTGTTGTTCAGTGAGACATATGTTAAGTGAGTTTTGCCCCATGTTACGACTTTTCTTGCCACAACTGTCAAGTGAATCGCTGCAGTTGATAAGTTAGCAATCTGGTTGTTAAACGAATCTGACTTTCCCATTGACTGTCAGGTTTCAAAAGGGAATCACATGACCCTGGGGGACAGCAAAAGTCATAAATGTGAACCAGTTGCAAAGCATCTGAATTTTGATTACATGATCATGATGCTGCTGCAAAGGTGGTAATTATGAAAAACGGTCATAGGTCACATTTTTCAGTGCCATTGTAACTTTAAATAATCACTAAACAAACTGTTGTAAATTGAGGACTACCTGTATAAGACAATATTTTTATTTTGGCCAGAATGTTGTTGGATGCCTTTGAAGCATAGTGATTGGACTTACATGTGATTTATGGAGTATAAGTTATCAAGTTTTGTAGAAATGATTTCCCTTTGAATAATTTAATATGAAACCTTCTGTCAGCTTCTGCTCCATTCCTGAGAACCACAAATCATAATTTACCATGCTTGATGATATGCCAATGCCAATACAATTGCCTATTTATCCATTTTAACACCTTTTTCTCATGAGAAACACCTTTCCTTGATCCCAATGTCTGCTTAATGGATATTTTGCATATATTTCTATTGTTTGTTACGTTTTTCATTATTAAGATATGTATTGCTTTGATCTCCACTTCAGTTTCTTTGTGTTTAACATCCAATTGTGCTCAGACTTAATTAGCTGAATATGTACAGCCTTTTACCTCTATGTCAAACAGATCATAGGCTGTGCAGCATTTTGGATGGTTGTTATCTTCTTGCCTTCAAAGCATGTTTTGGCAATCAAATCCAGAACCCTAAACTGTTCTGTTAAATTAGTAAAACATCTGACCAGCATCCCACCATTGAAATCCCAGATAAAACCGTATCTGGTAGTGGAAAACACCTCACTTGCACCATCCCTTGAATGCCCAGCCATAAGTCAACAGTAGTGAATGATCAGTTCAGAGCATTTAAGAAAAGAAACTAAATTATTTGCACTGGATCTCTATCAATTATTACTTAACAGTTAATTCTCTACCTCAATTTCTGAGGCCAAAACAAGCTGCATAAAAATCTGTATGCTCCTTCTCTGTTAGTTTGAAACAGAATGCTGGATTGTGTGGCACTTTCATTTGTCCAAAGAAGTAATTTTTTAAAGTTACTTAAAAAGAGCTTCTTTGCTGGATCAAGTGGGAAATGTATTCAGGGTTTTCTTTGCAGCATGGTCAGTAAGATGCCTCTGGAAAGCTAGCAGCATAGGCATGGAGACCAGTTTTCTATTCCCTACTTTCTCCAAGTGAGCTCACAACACACACAGCTAGGCTAAACTTAGGTTTTGTTTAAAGCTGTTGGTTACCCAGGTACTTAGTACAGTAAGTTATCTAAATACAGTCAATTAGGTTGAGGGAATCATGGTTAAATTAATTTGTATATTTATTCTATAGCCATCCATCTCATACCTGTGACTTTAGGCAATTTATATTAATCCGTTTTTAATTCTTCCTTGGAAGTTTATGCCCATTGTGGTAGAACAACTTTGGATTCTACTTTTCTCCCCAGAACGAGGAGGAGATTCCCTAGAGTAATTTTTCACCATCTACAGTTTCCATCATCTTATAGGCGGCTGCCTTTACTTAATGTAGCTGCATATACAGTACACACAAATTTTATCCGCTCGGAGGCAAAACAAGAATGGCCATGTAGGACTTCATTCTTCCTTCCCATTTAAAAAGATCACTGCGGTACGGGATCGGGCCCTTTCCAAAGGCAGCCCAAACCTCTGCGAGCGCCTTCCAGGCAAGCACTTCGTTTCCGAGCATCTTGAGAGCTAGCGGGCAAAGGCAAGGCAAGGCAAGGCAAGGCAGGCCGCAAACAACAGGCGACAGGATTACTGCCGCTCCGATTCCCGCACCGGGACTTTGAAGCAACCCAAAGGGACCAGGCCAGATTTTACTGCGAGCCCTGCGCGCAAAGCGCAGCTCCTGCGCCCTAAAGCGCAGAGCGAAGGAGGTCGGGAACGGAATTCCCAGGGCTGTTCCCTCACTCCCCAACCTCCACCCTCAACCGGACCCCAGTGCGCATGCCAGGGAGGAAGCTCCCTTGCTCTACCCCCTCCTCTTCCTGGCACTGAGTCCAGGGGGGAGGGAGGGAGTGAGGTAGGCGCTGGGGGGTGGGGGTGGAGAGCACCAGCGATCCTCTGCACCCTGACCCCCCCGCCCAACCCACGCACCCACCCGGCACCCACCGCAGGTGGGGGGGTGGCCACCCGTACCCCCCCCTCCTGGAGAGACGCGATTACAAGTTGGAGCTTGCAGCTGCTTCTGGGGAGGGGGCACCATGAACCAAGGTAAGTGCCAAAGGGGCCCCCGGGCACACTCTGAAGTCGGACTCGGGGCTGCAATTGGCATAGGCGAGGGGAGCCGTGAATGCCAGGAGCCGAGCCGATCTCCCGCTGCAGCTTTTCTCTTGACAGTTCAAACTTCTGCCGGAGTTGCCCAGCCTTTCCATTAAAGAGGAGCTGCTGGGGAAGGGCGATTTGGCCGCCACCTCTTAAACGACTCTTCCTGTACCAAAAGGGAAATAATAATGCCTTTGGGGAGAGGGGTGAGGTGGGGGCTTCCCTTTTAAGCCCCGATTACACAAAGCTAAGGAGAAAGGCTGCCGGGGTGCTTAGTTGCCTTATGTTCCCTCTCATGTTCCTTTTGCAAACCCCACTCCTAGACCTTCGGTTACTGCTATGGTGGGAAAAGTTCAGCCATCCTTCAAGGACTAAGGGGGGGGGGTCTATGACCCAAGGAAGAAGGGGCAGTCCCCAAAGATTACTGGGTACTGTTTCCAGCTTTCCTGGCTCTCCTAACTGCAGGTGGCAAAAGAAAAAGGGTAGACAGAAGAGGTGCATGTCACCAATATATTTCCCCACAAATTTCTCTTAAGAGGGTTTCTCCTGGAATCTGGTTTCTGTATTTCCCACTGATACCTTTTCAGACCTGTGTGCGGAAATGTAAAAGGAGGACTCACCACCTCCAGTGTGATTGAAAGGTTAAAAAGTCACCAGAAAAGTGACTAGGGACCATTTCCTGACTCTCGTTCAATATCGGGTCAAAATAAAAGAAGATTAATAGACTTTCTCGTGATCCTTTAGGAAGGTCAGAGGCAAAATGTGCAGAAAATCTTCCATCTAGTAGTGTTTTGTAAAGAGGATGGTGGGAATAATGGTCCAGCATACCCCGAGGGCACCAGGTTGGGAAAGGCAAGAGTTAGAACCTAACTCTCTTAGAATCCTTTTCTTCAGATTACAGAATTGCTCTGGCTGTTCCCATCCACAAACATCAGTTGCTAACTTTAGAGGAGGAAAAAAATGGAAACTAGATAGCACCTTTGATCTTCTTCAGTAGGAATTTGCTTATCAAGTAGGGTTACTCCTTGGTCATTGTTAAAAAGTTTGAAAGCTACACTTCGCTTCCTATGCAAAATCCCCGTGTGTTCTCATTATTTTGGATAAGGGCAAGGGATTCTAGTGCAGGGAATTTACTTGCAGGAATCTAGGCAGGAATAATTAATGACACAATATAAATTTTCAGCCAGGCTTCTGATTTTTATTTTTATTTGCTTATTTTGATGCATTTGACAGTGTGCTACGTTCCAGATATTTTTGGACAACAGTTCCCAGAATTACATGCAATTATTATGTAGCTAGGGATCAGGGAGGCTGATAGTTAGTTGAGAACAACTGGTATTGTATTCCCCTCCCCACCCCACCCCCAAAAGAAGTAGGTTTGATTCTACAATATTACCAATTGTTCAAAATGTGCAGGATGGGTTTGTTGAAAATAACTAGATTAGGTAAACACACCTTGCAGAATATAAACAATGCTAGCCTTGTTTAAAGTTAATCAGAGTGCAGTTATACAATCAAGAAAGTAGTCTAATCTTTTTGCTGCATACATTTGATGACAGGTAGTCCTTGACTTATTGAGCTCCAGGTTTATGTTGCTAAGACGGGTTAAATGAGTTTTGCCCCATTTTATGACCTTTCTTGCCACGCTTGTTAAGTGAATCACTGCAGTTGTTAAGTTAGTAACGCACTTGTTAAGTGAATCCGGCTTCCCTATTGGCTTTGCCTGTCAGAAGGTCACCAAAGGTAAATCACATGACCCCAGGAGATTGCAACCGTCATAAATATGAGTCAGTTGCCAAGTGTCTGAATTTTGATCACGTGACCACGGGGATCCTGCAATGGTTGTAAGAGTGAAAAATGGTCCGTCGCTTCCCTCAATGCCGTTGTGATTTTGAATGGTCATTAAATGAACTGTTATAAGTTGAGGAGTACCAGTATCCTGATGGAGGATGTCTATTCTGCATTACAAGATCCTGACCATGTTGCCAACTTCGGTTAAACTGTGGCAATCAGGTTCTTGAATATAGTTTTTTGACTTTTTATCCTCTGCCTGGCGGTCAGTATAGTTTTCTGTACCACTTTAAAAGTCCCCTCCAAAGAATCAAATAACTTGAATATATCCAAAAAACACGCAGTTGCAAGTCTTAACATTTTAAAATATATACTTGGTATAAAATACATACTAAAGTCTATATACAGTTGATTTCTTTGCAACAGAACCAGAACTACCTAAGCCTTAGTCCAGTGTTTCTCAACCTTGGCAACTTGAAGATGTCAGGACTTCAACTCCCAGAATTCCCCAGCCAGCTAATGCTGGCTGGGGAATTCTGGGAGTTGAAGTCCGGACATCTTCAAGTTGCCAAGGTTGAGAAACACTGCCTTAGTCAATCAGAATACAAGGCCTGGGCACTTTAACTTGGATGTAGAACTGTCCTTACTTCATTGTTGCATTGACAGCCACTTTAGATGTAGGTGTTAAGTTTCACTCAGGGCAGCAACTAGTATGACAGCGCCCGGTCTCAAGAATAGTGCTGTCTTTAAGGATGATAAGATGAATATCCTTCTGATTTCCCCCTGTTGTTTATAGTACTTGTTTTAATGTAAGAAAATATAGATGTATAATATAGGTGTAAGATGACCACTAAATATGGTTTCAAAAGAAAGGATTTTTCCCCTATTGCTTCAGCATTGCTTTCAGATGTTTCCTCGAAATAGAAAGACCTAGGCACAAACACAAAAATTGTCTACATTCACCTGCTCTGAAATAGGAAATCTGCTTTTACACGGTTTTAACCCAGTCTACCTTTAGCAATGTCAGTGAGTAAATGGGAGGAGCCAATCAATGTGTCAGCAGATTTATTAACCATTCCTAGTATTTTTTCCCCCTCTGGATTTCTGAATTTTTAGATATGTTTTAATCAATTTATGCGTGGTGGAAGGAACTGTCAGCTTTTTAATGGCTGATCCTGTCTTAGGCTTTTTACACTCACCTGATCTGTAGAATTAGTAGAGATTCTCTTCTTTTTCTCTCTTCTGTTTTCTCCATGCCAGGCTGCTTTAAAAGGCTCTAAGAGTAGAGCAATTCAAGCTGTGATCTGGTTCATAGTGTTGTTGTTGTTAGTTGCAAAGTCTTGTCCGACCCATCGTGACCCCTTGGACAACGTTTCTCCAGGCCTTCCTGTCCTCTATTATCCTCTGGAGTCCATTTTTTGGTGCTGTCCATGGGGTTTTCATGGCAAAGATACTGGAGTGGGTTACCATTTCCATCTCCCGTGGATCACGTTTTGTCAGAGCTCTCTGCTATCACCTGTCCCTCTTGGGTGGCCCTGCGTGGCATAACTCATAGCTTCATTGAGCTACGCCATGACAAGGCTGTAATCCATGAAGGGGGTTTCATAGCATATTAGGAGTATATTAACTGTATACATGTGATTCATTTGGTCTTGGTTTAATTGTGGTTGATGTAGTAACCATGTTAAAAAATATTGGCTTCACACAATACATGAAATTAATCTGTTTTTTTTCCTCCATTAGTAATTCTAATTGGGCTATCTTTTTCAGTCACTTTTTATGACTGCAGTGAAGAGAAATATAATATGTAGTCTCCCTATTGTTTAATCCTTGGCTAGCCTGATGAGTGTAGATTTTTCAGCTCATGTGAAAGCCAGTTTAGACTAAGATAGCAAGCAGGGAGACTGTGAATTCAAGTCCTGCCTTAGCCATAAAAACCAGCAGGGTGACTTTGGGCCAGTCACTTTCTCTCATCCCAACACTGTTGTTGTTGTGGGGAAAATAGGAGGAAGCTGTGTTGGGTGTGTTCACTGCCTTGAGTTATTTGTAAAACTAATAAAGGAGGGAGAGAAGTAAAATAAATAATGTTCAGAATTCTAAATAAGCATTTATTCTAATCATTTTAGGTCATGGGTCTCCAACCTTAGCAACTTTAAGACTTGTGGACTTCAACTCCCAAAATTCTGGGAGTTCAAGTCCACAAGCTTAAACTTGCCAAAGTTAGAGACCCCTGTTTTAGGTGACAAAGTTTTGCCTTCGGACAATCAGCCAAAGAGCTTTCTAAAAATAAATGCTTAGTTGTCTGTACATAGACTAACACGTTTGTGTATATGGAAATGGGCCACTAGCCCGCAGGCATTTTATGGGCTAGTAACAAATGAATGTATTTGATACATTACTCATGCTCTCTGAATTTTTCATTCCTAAACTTCAGCCAGCATCGACATGTTTCTGTAGAAGCTTCTTTTCTTTGTGGCATGGGAGAAACCAATATCTTAGTCTACATCTTTCTATCTACCCAAAAATGCCACTCTTATGAATAAGAAAAATTAGCATATGATTTAGATGTGCAGCCAAAGCAATTGGCCATTGGTTCGCTTTTATGCCACTCATTAGAAGTTGTGCACTTAGGGAGGAGTATTCCAGATTAGTAGAGATGAATTCTGGATTTTGCATGCAACATGGAATGGGCTGGACTGAAACCCTTTCCTCTGATTGGTTAAATCTTTATTTGCCAGGAAGAATATAGAAAGTTGTTTTACGTTAAATCAGGCTGTTGGTCCGACTAATCCAGTACAGTACTGTATTATCAACATGGACTAGTTGTATTTGGCCAATGTTTTAGGCAAGATATTTTTGTCAGAATATGCCAGAGGTTGAACCTGGATTCTGCTGCATGTTTACTTAAGAAAATCTGCAATGATATAGTCAAGTTCAAGAACAGAAGATAACCTGGTGATTCAGAGGTGGGTTGCTCCCGGTTCAGTCCAGTTCAGCTGAACCGGTAGTGGGATTCAGGCCTGGGTTGCAGAACCAGCAGCAATCCAGGCCTGCCATGCCCCCAAACCGGTTCCCATGCCACTGCTGGGCCGCTGCCATTTTGGTATTTAGTGACTGCACTATGCACAAAGAACAATTTACATTGAATAGCGCCAGCGGGACAATGCCGGCTGGCGATGCCTAGGAGTAGGGATTTCTCTGTTGCCGCTCCGGCCCTGTGGAATGAGCTGCCCCCTGAGATCCGGGCCCTACCTACTCTCATGGCCTTTCACA